GAACTGTTGCAGCTTTCGTGAATGACATGGTTTTGATCGGTACACACAAAAAACTAATAAAATCATATAATGATATCTGTTTATTAGTGTTTTGTGTGTACGGATCAAAACCATGTTTTGTAATTTTCACTTCTATGTTTTGTAATTCCGATTTTCAAGGAGGTCTCTGGAGACCTCAGCATCTACAGACGGCTTGAGAAATCTTTTTTCTTTTCATAAACGGAATTAGACTACAAAACCATATCATTTATGAAAGTTTCAACAGTTCTCGTGGAAAACTAACGATTTTGGAAGCCATTATATTGTGCGTCCATCAAAGGGCTAATCTATGGAAAACGTAAAATTCAATAACTCGGGATGAGTTGTAAAGCTGGAATCTTTTATGAATATTACAGACATATAGTCGAGCCGTTGAAAGAAATTTGAGCTCTTAACTACTTTTCGTGATAGAGTTATGAATTTTTTAATTTTTTCCGTATGGTTAATTTTCTCCGCTAAACGTGATTATAAGACCAAAAAATCGAAAAAGAATATTTTTGTTATTGAATTTTCCAGAAAACCTTTTAGAAAACCGTAGAGTGTTGTAAAATTTCTTTTGAGTTCTCCGATAAGTGGAATATAGAATGGTTTAAATAATCTATATTCTGAAGTTTTGAACTCGTTCTGATGTTTATTGAGTGAATAGGAAATTTTTTAATATCTGGCGAAAACAGTCTGGAAGTCCAAATTTTCATAAAACTCGTTTTCGGTGGATTTTTACAGCTTTTTCTAGAGATAATTATTGCCACGAGACTCAGCATGATTGATTACCTATAGTCCATCCGTTTTCAAAGCTACCAATAGCCACCGGGAGCCAGTCCTGGTACTCATAGAAAATCCGACAGAACACCGGAGTGCACTCGGAAAATCAAGGTTTCGCTCGACTCTCATTTTGACGAGGACATCTTCGGCTATCAGACCATGGAGGAAAATCAATACAATCCTATTGGAAAGCTTTTACACGCGGTCTAGTTTTCCAAAGATCTCCTAGAAAACCTATTCCAGAAAACACCTTTGAAAACGTTTTTGCGTATAGAAAGATGCCTCTAAGTGTCCTCTTTCGCATGGCAAAAGTCGAAGCTCTCTAGCTGGCTTCTATCAAAAGTTATTCAAAAAGCAACCGCCTGTCTTGTATTTTGGAACGGATAGTAGCTCCACAAAGATGGATAAATTCAAGTACCTTAAAGATATACTATAATTGTCTCGGTAATAGTTATCAATGGTCAGCAACATGTTTCTTGAATCATTGAAAAATGTTTGCTCCAGTGCTGATTTGCCCAATGAATCAACTTTGTAAACATGATTTATTTGAGCATTTTTATATCGAATTTTCATACCTGTAACAATAAACAGCATATTAATAAAAATAGAAAAGAAGTATTTCATATAAATCTAATACCTCGAATTTGTTCACTGATGTAATCAATAGAACGTTGATCTGTGGAAAGTGTATTTTGTAACATACATATTTGTTTCTCTAATTCTTCTGTGTCCTCTATTGAATGTTTTGATATTAATTCATACAAAAATTTCAAAAACGGTTGTTCTTTCATAAATACCGTATAACTGACTAAGAAGCAAAACATATTAGTAAACAGATAATTGTTTTTCCATCGATAACATACCATCGAGATTAAGAGCTAATTTATATTCACTGGCAGACAACACCAGTGCTGAATAAAATCCACGCCATCCAGCTTTACCATCACCCAAATCAAATGCATTCTCTTTTGTTGGTATCATGTAAAATGATCGATTTCGAATGGCATGAGCATTTTTCGATGCGGCTTCATGTAAAACAGTTGTTAATATTTGTTTTAAACTACTAATGTCAAGTTGTCGTAAATCGATTTGTCCTTGATTAGATTTAATCAGTTTTATGGTGAGATTGAACGATTCTTGTCTACCATAATGATTCGGTACCGATATTTTGTATGTCACACCATTTCCATCAATATCAGGTAATTTTTTGAATGAAATAATTAAATTGTCATTATCAAATGCCAAGTTGTTCTGCATTGATCTGGGTAAACTTTTAATCCAACAAGCGTGGATTGCTCGTTTTTTTGTAAATGATATTTCCATATCGTAATTATTCGTTATGTCGACACGATATTGATAAATGGCTTGTAATGGATATTGAAAGTTTAACAATTTAAAATGATTGACATACACATAAATCTGTTTGGCGATTGTGTCAGATTGTTGAGTCTCCAGTGGTAGCCGAGCGTTTGATCGCATTGATTCACGACCTACTCCGGCACGACTTGAGACCGATGTAGTCGTCTGATTCGGTGAAGCTTGATTTTGACTAGATGATTCTTCACGGTGCGTTTGTGAAAGAGACGATAACAATGGGATTGGGGAAAATTGCCCGTTTCGACGAACGATACCACGACCGCGGCCACTAGACATCTAAGAGAACTTACAAATATAGATCGAGTTCTGCATGCCCAAGAGGTTAAAAAAATCATGAAATGGGCGTTCGAACCCTGTACTAAAAATAAGTACGGATTTTTGATCCTGTACTTTTAAATATTTCAGTACTTTAATGCGTTCTAATTGAAATAGTATGGGCCTTCCTGAAGCACGGCGTAGGGCGCCACATACCTATACTCTTTCTGACTAAGAAGTATGTGCCGTTCGTGATACCCATTTTAGAACGGCTCGATGGATGATCTATTCTAACGGAGAAGCTCGCCCCGTACTGGAATCCGTTCTGGCACACAAGAAGACGCCCCGTAGTCAACCCGTTCCTATATGGAAAATGGCTGCGCGTACTGCTGTCCGTCCAGAATGGCCCGTTCTAAGATAAAAATAAAAGCTGCCCAATACTTGAACCCGTTCTTGTGCATCAAAGGCGTCCCGTATAGGGCCCGTTACTACGTAAAATAGTACTTGGCGTTCTTATACCCGTCCAAACGACACGTAATTATCCCGTTCTGACACGAGAAGCTTAAACAAGAAGTTTTTCATGGTATGTCCAGTCAGGTGTTTCATAAAAATTCTTAAGTGCTAGACTTAACCAAGTCTAGACTTAAGTCTTCGCTGTCTTAACTAAGCGTAGGCTTAATTTTGAGTGTTTCACAAAAATTCTTAAGTTATAGCCATAAGTCTGTGCTTAACTCCTCGTCTTATCTAAGTTTGAGACAGCCTTAAGTTGACGAACCTAAGTGTTGCACTACATCAAACGTAAGTTCAATTTAAATTTAAGTGCATAACTTAGTCGCGCGGTCTTAAGTTAAGTCAAGTCCATGCACTTAACTCATGTACAGATGTATTACAACTTTGTACTTTTTCAAAAAATAATAGAGTTTATGATAGTTCAGTTATATGGCATGAGTTATAAAAAATATGGGAAAAAAAGTGGAAAAAGAAGATTAAAAACACAAACGGACAGTAATGCGACACATTTCAACTGCTATATGATATCTCATGTAAAACAGTAAAGCTATGTCGAATGTACTGACAATACATACTTTGAAACCACTTTCGATATTGTGTTATACACACACACGCGACAATATAGTTACGTATTATTATTCGATCAATGCTACCAGAAGAAGAAGCAATCGTCTTGACGGATACAAGAAATGAAACTTCTGACGTTGATGTTTCGCAATTAAAAATCAAGATCAGCGCCATAATAAAGAATTTTTTTCAATGCAACTATGATAAATAAAACGGGAAAAACCCAGTTCATTGTGTATTACCATGTTTTACCAACTGGTAAAACGTGAACCAATAGAAAAACGAAAATTATCCACCATCAATAACTAAGTCTTCAGTAGATGCCTATCGCTTTCTCAATCCGTACTATGTAACATCTATTGAATTGGAAGAAGAGTTCATTGATTTTTCCTGCGATCGTTCTTCCATTTTCAATAGAATAGCCCGTAATTGGAAGTTTCATGACTTTTTCTTTCTGATATATTTATACATGGTTGGATCCCTAGAGATCTAATCTTATAAAAGATTCGTATAATTTTTTTATAAGAACTTTATACGAATCTTATAGAAATTTTACGAAAATCTTATATGCTCCAGTCGATAGAACTGCATACTGTGGTTATAAGATTCCTAGAAGATTTTCATAAGATTCTTATAAGATTTTTGTAAGATTTTTTCTTATAAGATTCTTATACTTTATAAGAGCTACTATATGTTAGTGTACGTTGAATTACTATCATTTACGGTATTTTTCGAGATACTTGTTGATTACTTCTCCTTTGATATTCGAGATGCAACATGTTTTACTCGGTCTTTTCGTCGAGAACATGATGCATTAGACCAATTAGATTCAAATACGCTTTGCTGTCGACTCTATGTCTCGAAAGTGTATAAACAAAATAGAGACTAAATTATCTTTAGCAAAATAATGAGTATAGAAACAGAAATAAAGAAAGCCACTGATTCATCCATTGTCCGACTTCATCGAGTTAAGAATCAAATCTGCAAAGAAGAAGACATCTTCCCCATAGAAAATATTTCTGAAGGCAGATGAGACACTGATTCCATCATGTTTTTACCCAGTTTTCTCTTCACGAACATAATGCAGTCAAGGTCGATCATTCACCTTGGACTCGCTTGCAGGTTAAAGTGAATACAACACGGCAATTCTATTTTTTTATGAATACTCTTTCTTTCTCTAATTCTTTTCTACTCTTCATAGGAAGTATGTTAACTTTTCCCACATGTGAAGAAAACATCCACACTTGAACTCTCAGAGAATATTCCTTTGTGTGAAATATACATAGAAACAAATACAGGTGTGTTGTATAAAGAAAATTGTAAAGATGATTGAATCGAACGATGGATGTGTATTTGTTTTTTTACACTTACCATGCAGACGTGTTTTCTTCCTTTCTATTCTCTACTGTTTCGTGCGTATACTAAAGGTATAAGTATAAGTGTATGAGTCATACAAATTCTGGGTATACTAAATTTTCTTAAAATTATAAATATAATAATTATATAATTATATATATTATAATATTATAAAATTAAGCATTCAAAATGACTTATAATATATATAATAATATGAATACAGCACAAAAAGATCGTATATGTGATGGAATCCAAACTCATCAGGTATTACAACAATTCTATGAAAATAAACGAAGTAATAATGCACTGCTACGCCAACCAACGCTACGCCAGGCGAGATGAAATGCCTAGCGTAACGGACTTACAAAAAACAGAAGTAAACTTTGAAGAATCCTAGAAAAGTGAAACGTTTAACGATTGTCTACACTCAGGATGAGATTTTAATAGTTGATTTTGTAGCTCGGACTTAGAACTTCCCTGTAATGAAAACTGGAGGAAAAACGATGTTATCAGTAGTAATTTTTTTGGTATGTTGTTTTTGTGTTCTGTTTTTTTATATATTGAGCAGGTTTCCGAGAAAGAGTTTACAAACAGAATAAGAAAGGGTTTTAGAACTCACGAAAACCTTTTTTTATGGTACATGGCAACCACTTCTTCATTTGACGTTTTTGCTTGCTTTGCACGTTTCATCTTTGATATTAAAGACTGTTTCCATGTGGTCTGTAAAAGAGAAATGTTTATCACCAAAAAGATTAAACTTCTTATACGTACTATATTAGTCTCGGTGAGATTCAGTCCAAGACATTCAACAATTCCATGAGCTATTGATTCGTATTGTTTAGCTTTAGGATATCTAGAATAAACAGGATATTTGCAATAATCAAATTAGCTTTATATGGTGCAAAATACTTACAATAATCTAAACGTCGTTGTGATATCATTATAAACAGCATCAATAATAATTTGTCTGTAATTACATAATTTTTCAAATTTGTCATATTGTTTATTTGTGATAGACAATTGCACATGTTCGGGAAGATTGGGGAGTGAATATTTGTCAAGAAATTCTTTTTTTATATTAAATTCAGTTGTTGTTGCACTTAGTACTGTAAGTGACAATTGATGTGACAGCTCAACATTATCATCTTCTGGTTTCAATAAATCATTTTGTTTAACCGTTGTTGTCAATGAGAAGAATTTTTCAACGAATGACGCTATTGTTTTACTGCTACTATTGTATGCATTATTTTCTTTCTCAAATAGTCCACGTTGTTTATTGATAAATAATAATTGATCTTTAAATCTAGGCATAACTAGTTTGATTGAATCATGATCCATCATTGCCAATGTTACACCATCAATACCTTCGGCTAAAACAGAAGAAGCAAATAAAAATTTTTGTGAAAAGTTCAGAGCTGAGATCCTAAAAAAATTTGACTGTCAGTAGAGCCGTAGCTGTCTTCATGCATTTAGAAACTTTTCATTATCTTCTATGACGTCAACAATTTAAAGGTTTAAAATACGAGCCGAATATTCAGACAGTGGTTCTGTTTTCTTCAATACATTTTTTCTATCATTCTGTTAATCTCGGTGAAAGGCTCACACAGTAACAGTTGTCTAATTCGTATAGATTAATGCCTTTGTGATAGTATTTTAAATCCTTTGGCGAAATGATTTCTAAGTCATCATTAGAAATAACTTCATATGCACACAAGTTGGAGTTGTAGCCGACTCTTAACAAATGATCGATAACAAACATCCATTGATTGTTTAACTTGAATATGTATAGCAGTTGGAAGTCTCTCTTTATTAACCTATTAAAGTTAGAATTCTTATACTACAGCTGGTTATACATCATGTCTTCTACCACTACTCCTGCTTCTTCACCATCAACTGACAACAGTAATGATATAGAAGAATCACTCTGGTTATTTTGTCAATATATACATCGTAAAATTACGGAAATTATTTAACCCTTTCAGTCCCGGCGATTCCTTAAGGAGTTAACCATGTTTTTCTTTTCAGCATTAAAGTATGGACTTAAGCTGATTTCACAGTTCAATAGAGATCAACAATATCTTCAAATTGACATATCGAATTACTATTTCTTACGTTCACACATCCTCCCACAATCTCCTTTTCTGTGATATAGTGACATTCGACATTGGGATTTTCCTTTAGTAGCGCAGCGAACAACTTCCGTTGGCAGACCAATGGATCAACCAGCACCTTTGCGCCTCACAGAACGACATTTTCCATCATATATACCAAGTGTCGATAGAAATAATAGAATACGTCGAAGACAATGTATTGTATGTTCATCACACCAAATAAGAACACAAACAACTTATATTTGTGCAGAGTGTGATGTTCCTCTTTGTGTTCCTGTTTGCTTTAAAGATTATCACACAAAACTGCATTATT